TCTCCTTCCCCATGAGATGACACACACAAGCCAGACTCTGCACTTCCACTAAGTTCTGCCTGTACAGGGCATGGCCTTTCCACCAAGGATGCAGCTTTCAGGCATGGCTCCACCTAAAACCATGGATAACCCTCACCTTAGGAGCAGGTATCAGTTTTATGGGACAAAAAGTGGATCCAATGATCCAAACGCAGGACTTTAAGATTCGAGTGCAACACCTATATCAAAGAGTGGACCTACAGCATCTAAAACGTTTTGTAATATTCTGACATGCAGAATTACTATTATGGCTGGTGGTATACTGTGTATGACATAATTCAGTATTTCTTTTTATGTATTTGTGTACATTTGTAACTATGTATCTCCAGAAACACAAATGTTATTATTTCTTAGTAATACACTGGCCATGTTTAATTCCAAAAGTACTATTAGAATTTTTGATAAGTTGATACAAGGACTCCTGGAAATCAACAGGAGACTCTGCATTCACTGTCAGATGCTCTAAGGTCCTTGAAAGGTCAACACAAAATAAATTGCATAATTAACTATAAATTCAATTACAGAGTCACAGAGTGAGAGGGAAAAGAACACTGAGATCAAATTTTCCATTTGACATCCTTAAGCAGTAACTCAGTAGGCACCAGGAAGATTGAAATCACAGACTGACAGGTAGGGAAATATTATTGGCTTTTCAATAACAACCTTGGACCCAACAATTTCCAAGCATGTACATACACATTCACCATCTTCCTCAGAAGTCTGCAAGCAGGTGAATAGATGAGACATTATATCTGATCCCATCCCAAAGCCTAAGAGCATCTTTTGTTCCAAAGAAAAAGCCAGTTGGTAGCTTTAAAAATCAGTAAAATAGACCCTGAGAATTTGGGCATGACATAAAATTCCTACAGAACACTTCCTTGACATAGCAACTATAGAAGCAGAATGAAGAGCCTCTTCATTCTAGATCTCATTTCTTTACATGGCATGTAAAGGAATATGAATTCTTCCTTCGAGCGTTGGTGCTGCTGTAAAATCTTTGTTATTGATATATTTCATCTCTACTAAGAATTTTAAATTATTTTGCCTCTTGAAAGATTTTGTGCCTAAAGAACTGAATCACTTGATTTAAACCTCTGGAAAATATTTTTCACACTAAGTTTACCTGTTATATAAATGCTAGCTGAAAAACATAACACCATAACTTTGTATTTTTGAAATTGCATCCTTTCCATTAAAAAATTCAGCTGGACAAGGCTCTGGCAATCTCCTCTAACTGGATGTGCATCTAGTCAGAGGATGAACAAGGTGAATTCCAGGAAGACCCATCCAACCTATGCTGTTCCACAGCTCCCTGAGATCAGTGGAAAAGGTCTTTATCAAATGATGGAAACAAGGCAAAAATAATCAGTGCACATATTTATGCCTACAAATAGCACATTTTTACTGCTGCTCCATTCTTTAGTGGAAAGGGATGTTAAAAATATCTGAAAAATACTTTCAAAAAATTTGAAGCTTTTCACAAAAATTAAGTTGAAAATAAAAGTTAGGCATGAAAACTCTCCGTACAGAAATTACTTTCTTAAGTACATTTCTTAAAAAGCAGAATGAACATTTCTTTTTTTCCAAAAGGCAATAATTTAAAAAATTTTTCTTCAAAGGATTCTTTTTATTATATTTCAGAACCTAGGGAGCTGTGAAAACATGAGATGCCTCTTATCAAATTTCTACACAGAAAATACTTTCCTGTTCCTATAAACAACAGTTAATCAATTTTACTTATCCTGGGGCATTTTATCTAAAAGTGATTGTTTAATCAAACTGACAGTTATTTCACCATCACCTTTTCCTAAAAAAAAAAAAAAAAAAAAGGATAAACAGTATCCCCCAAATGTCTAGTTGCTAATACAAAAAAAAAAAAAAAAAAAAAGAAAGAAAAAAGAAACCTCAGTCAAAAAGAGATCTCATTATAGCAATAAAAGTTATTTTGCCTTACAAAAAATTGTCACAAGTCCGTGCAGGCAGCACAGCAGCTACCACACCTCAGCATCACCACTGAGTTCCAAGAATCTTAGTCAAACCACAGGAGATGGTGAGCTGAGCTGAGGGCTGCCTCTGGAGTAGCCTGCACTAGTGGTACAGTATTACAATGAAGTCCCTAGATTGAAGAAATTACAAAATCATCCAAGAATAAAACTGTCTCCAGCAAGGGTTTCTCACTGATTTTCCCTTATCAATAAATACAGAAATACCCACCAAGGACAGTGACTTTGTACAGTTCCATCCATAACCACTGGAGATTGACTCTACTTTGGTCCTCCTGGTTTCACGATGGTACAAGAAAGACAAGCTAACCAATGTATATAGCTGTGAGCAGCAGAAATTCTGGGTATTGCTTATCTTTGCTCTGGCTCTCCCAAATACAGTCCACAAACAAACCCCTATGTATCAAATAATTTATCTGGGGAAAATTTCTGTAGAAAAGATCTACTTTTCTAGAAAAGTAGATGCAACAAAAAGAACCAAGTAACAATGTAAACTACCCATAATATCACCTTGATACAATACATAGTTGCTGGGATACAGCGTTAAATGTGCAAATGAGAGTCTGTTTCTGAATTCCACAATGCATCCAGGTTGCATTGAGGTGCACAACTGAACAAGAAACCAGGAACCCCTAAAAGCTGAAAACCACACAGGATAAAGGAGTAAAACCCAGCCCCATCTCCACCCACATGTGATGCACATTTGGAAATGGGGAGGGTGAGCAAAACCTCCAGCATTTCAGTAGATTCAAGATGAGCATGCTGAGCACCAGGAAGTACCAGGGAAGCAACTGTTCACTATAGTGATGTTTCTGTAGGTTTTGGTGGACCACATGTTGTACAGAAATAACTGTCCACCACTTCAGAAGTATTTGCAACTGCTCCTCGAGGCACGGGACAAGACTGTCACAAAAAGAGGTCTAAAGCCAGGCCAAGACAGGGATGTTTTTCACAATTGCCAGACACTGAGCAATCCCCCTGTATTCCAAGGAAGTCATTAAAGTCTCTGAGTTTCCCACACTTGGCCAGATTATTTAATTGTCTAAGCATAGATTTTGCAGTCAAATGTAAGTCTCCTAGTCTGTCAGGGTTAAAGTTGATTTACTGACACTGTGGCTGAATGTAAGGTGCCCTTTGGGAAAGACACCATTACCAAACCTTGATGAAAAGCTAATAATTGGAAATCCTGAAATTTAAAGGGGAAGTAATATTTTCATAACCTTAAGTACAGTGTTACATGTATATATGACTCTTCACCTGCAGAACGAGGCCAAGGGGATACAGATCCAAAAAAAAAACACGCAGAAAATCAGCTTTTCTGATGCATACATAGATTCACACCTTCACACTCTAACTAAACAAGGAAGCCTAAAACGAAGCCATACTCTTTCCATTTACTGTAATTATAGATAAGTCATCTTTCAAGGACTCAAGTATTTTAAGGGGTTGAAGTAATTAATCACAAGATAACTTTTGCAGCAGCATTTTGAGGGAGCTTAGTCATGTGTTAATGAAGAACCAAGGTGCTATAGTTTTGGCAAAAGGTACAGGTAGCCTTGAGCCACAATGAAACACGCTTGTGAACTTCCAGTAAACGTTCATTTCAACTCGCTTGCTGCTTGCCTGGAATTAAAAAGAAAAAAGGGAAAGGGATGGGGGAGGGTGACGGGGGGCAGCAGGGCGAGGGGAGGAGCTGGAGCTCATCAGTGACAGAACAGAAAGAGCAGAGTTCACAAGCCTTCCATCCACCCCAAACTTCATCACAACTTTGAACCTATCACTGCTGAACCAAGGAGAGATTGAACAGCCTACATATGACAGCAAAGTTGCCTCAGTATGAGAGAACTTGCTGTCAGGGCTACAGAGCCACCAAGGGGCAGGGAAGAAGGCAGCCTACATACTCGTGAGAACCCATTTCCATTTCTCTCACTCGCAGCATCAGTAGGACCACTCTGCAAGTGCCTTCAGGGGTGTCCTGGGTTCAGCAGTAGCAGTCATTTTTCTCTTTCTTGGTAGCTGGTGCAGTGCTGTGCTTTGACTTTCAGGCTGGGAACAAAGCTGATAAAAATGATGTTTTGGTTTGGCCAAGGACTTTGTGAGCCTCATGCTCTGCCAGGGAGGAGGGAGGCCGGAGGCCGAGCACAGGACACCTGACCCAAACTGACCAAAGAAGTATTCCATACCACAACACGTCATGCCCTGGATGTAACTGGGAGTTACCCGGAAGGGCAGAGGGATTCTTCCACTATCTACCTAAACAGCTAACGATATGATTTTCTTGGAGGTAAACAACCAATTATGAAAGGTCATATACTTTAGCACCCACCGCAACCCGACTTTCACTGTCTCTAGCACTAGGGCATTTGTCATTCACAGTGAGATACGTTGCCAGCACCCCTGGTAACAAGTAGATCTTGCTATTGTAAAATGATTTTAGCTCTCACTTGGACTACATTCTTGTCCTGGCCCCCATCTAGACACCGCGAATTATTCCCTCTAATCGGGTCCATCCCCTCGGGTTTATTCCCAGGCAGTACCCGCCCCTTCAGCCAAACTGCTGGTCCGGACTCGGCTTTCCAGCGCCGTTATCCGCCTACGGCTCCTCATCTAAGCAGCAAATCCGCAGCCTCCCTAACACTTCCCTTTCCCCAGGAACTGCAGAAGGGAAGGGAAGGCGCGGAGCCGGGGTTCCCCCAGACCCTCTGAGCTCAGCGGTCCTCCCGGCCCGGGCCAGGCACACACATGCGCGCACCTCCGAACACTCCGCGAGGCACTTCTCGGCCTATTCCCGCCCCACCGCCTCCTGGCTCCGCCGCCCCCGGCTCGGTCCCTGCCAGCCGCGGGGGGAGGCAGGGCAGGACAGGGGGCGCGTCGGCCGGCCCCCATGGGGCGGGGGTCAGCCGTTTGCCCCCGCCCTCCGCTAATGGGCTTCAACTCCGTCCAGCCGCTTCTGCCACTCCGGCCTTGCGAGCAGGAGACGGAGGGGCGCATCTCCGGGCTGCGCCCGCACCCGCCAGCCAGCCGCGGCGGAGCTGCATGGAGGCACCGGTCACCGCTGTGTACTGGGGTAAGGCGCGCTGAGCGACGAGCGGCAGCAGCGGGGGGGGCAGGCTCGGCCGCAGCCGGGCAGTGCTCTGCGGAAACTTTTCGGTACTCGGGAAACCCCCTTCCGAGAGAAAGGGGAAGCAGCCCCGAGCCGTGCCGGGAGTGCCGTGCGGGGCGGGAGGCGCCGTCAGCGGCGGGATGCGGGTTAGAGCGGGCAAGAGCTGCGACTGTCGCCGTGGCATGGAGCATGGGGACAGCGTGCTGCCCTGGGTGTAAACACAGTACAGAGGCTATACTACAGCTGACTGACTGCCAGGAGCTTTTGTGTTATAGATGCAACTGTAGAAGCAAACGAGCCCCTCTTATAAGAAATCTAACAGGTTTGTTGTTGAGGACACCTTTTTACTCGCGTTGTGTTTTGTTGCCTGCAACAAAGAAGTATAAATCTTTGAAGCACAAGTTATAAATATTAAAGCTCAAATGTATAGGGGGAGTATGTGTATCGAATTTTAGAACAAATTTATTCCAAGCGAGTTTGACACATACAGCCTCCTAATGTATTCAAGATGCACTTAAATTAGGAAAGAGTTATTTTGTTTTACAATGGTAGATGCCTGTTTCAGAGGCTGGGGAATAACTTAACAATAATTAGCATTTTTATGTAACACATTGGTGTGTATGGAAGGAAGTTTGAATCTGAGGGGCATTAAAGTCAGATATTGTTTCCTGAATGGGAGTGATTTGTGGAAATAAGGAGCAACAACTTGTTTGGGTTTTTCACCCCCATTCAAGGCACATCTGTGCCAAGAGTGGGTGCACGTTACCACCACAGTGTTTCTTTGACTGACAGCTGGTTGCAAAACAAAACCAAACTGCTAAACTGCTATTAAGAAACTTCTTTTTTTTTTTTTTCCCTTTGATTTTTCCCTCCTCAGTTATTTTCCTCCATCTACCCTCATCCCTGGAAGCTCCATCCGTATTGGAATAACCAGCAATTATTCCAATCTCTGTAAGTAGTCTTTTTTCTTTTTTTTTTTTTTTCTTTAAATGCATTAACAGCATGCCTTGCAGCCATGTACAGCTGTAGGAATATTATATTTAAAGTCCCCCAGCAGATAAACATCAATCCATTAAAAAGCAAACAGCTTCCTGGCTAAGAAAACAACTGGGTTAACAGAAATTGACTTAACCTTGTGATCTATATACAGACAAAACTGACAGAAATGAGTGAGAGGATTGTCTGAAAGAGGACCATAAAATTTAGCGCCAGGTACAAGTACTTCAGTAGTTCCTTTTTAAAATAAAAATAAAATTAAAAAATCCTCCTTTTCAGCATTTTCTCCTACAAAAAGTTAGCACATTACTGCTAAACCCATTTACAAATTGAGTGCACTGACATCAGTCAAAATTTGTATCATTTTGGCACTCACTAGTGAAACAAGTATAGTTAAAAATTATTTCCAGTCATTGAAATAAAACGGTTCCTGACACTTGACTTCCTCCTACTCTCCTTTTTATGACTGACTTTTGTAGTAATTACATGAGTTATTTGAAAGGAAATATAACATTACAAGAGCCAATTCTGCCCATGTCAGTGTTTTGGCGGAAAACCACATGTGTGCAGGGAAGCAGAGCAGCATAACCAGTCTCTTAGAAGAAAGAACGCACATTGGTTAAAACTATATGCACAACAATTAAAACAACCAAGATATCTCTCAGAGGAAGTACTTTAGCTCAAGAAAAGCCATGCTGAAATGTAACTAAATTGTCATAGAATCCCAGACCAGTTTGGGTTGGAAGGGACCTTAAAACTCACCCAGCTCCAAACCCCTGCCACAAGCAGGGACACCTTCCACTAGACCAGGTTGCTTAAAACCCCCTCCAGCCCAGCCGTGAACACTGCCAGGGACGGGGCAGGCAGCTTCTCTGGGCACGCTGTGCCAGTGCCTCAGCACCCTCACAGGAAAGAATTTCTTCCTAATATCATCTAATTATTACTTCAGTAACAGCTTTCAAGCTAAAATGCCCACCATGGGCAAGAGAACTTGTGTTATTAAACCTGAAGTTTAAAGAAAGAAGAGGCAAAGGTTATGTTATTACTTCAGAACATACATAAAGGAACAATAAAGTCAGGTGGCTGCTATCAGTCATGACTAGAAATATTGTCAAGCTGAACATTTGACGCCACAACCCACCAACTTGGAGAAATTACTCACTCTATCAATACTAGTATACGTAAGCTTTAACCCGAAGGTAACTCGGGTAACTAGGCGCAGAGCTGGGCTGGTAAAGCTGAAGACAGTGAAAAACCAAAGAAATGCAAAGTGGTGTCTTTCAGATGGCCTGGTAATCTCTTAAACTCCTAGAAAAAAACACATTAAAGTTGGGCTCAGGAGCAAATGCAAAATCAGGAACTGCTGATTAAAATTGTTCCAGCTCCCTAACAGATGATGAACTGGCATCACCTAAGTCATAGAAAATACATAGTAACAATACAAAATTTCCAAGAAATTGTAAATGCTTGCATTGATATAGCTGCATGTGGTAGTTGCTCATGTATTAGTGAATTGCCTGTAGACCTGGCAAGAATACTTGTAACACACATTGTTACAGGTTAATTGTGCAAAAATCCTGTTCAGGTTACTTTTCCACACAACTGCTGTGTTTACGCTATGCACAAAATGACGTTTCATAGCACTTCATTACAGATGTAGCCAGTATATGTTTAATTTGGGGATTCATATCAGAACAACGCAATTTCTTATCTATTCCTCACTTTGGTGCTCCTTGACCCTTAAGCTCACACTTTCCCTCCCACTGCCCCTCCCTGAGAGACCACTTCATGGCAAGACAACTCTGTATTGTATTAACTTTACATTAGTGGAGTTTTGTAATGGAACTGTTGCAGTAAACCAGTTCAGAGTAAGTGACTATTAGTTCTGTATCTAAGTAAATCTTTATGATAACTGTATTCAACTACGTCTCTGCTGTTACATCTAAGAGCACAAGGGATGTCCAGAGATATATAAAACATCCATTTGGATGCATTAATCAGGAAAAACAAATTATAAAATATTCAGATATCCTTTTAAAATCCAGAATTAAGATTACTATGTTATGGCCTATAGACTACAAGTCTCTGTAAACAGCACTCTCTCACCAAAAATCAAGAGATAGAACAGTGAGCTGCTGCTTCTTCCTGGTGAAAGCACACTGTAACAATAAGAAAGGACATGCTTATCCAAAGGAGAAGTGCAGAAAATCCTGACCTAAGTCCATAAGGCTCTTCAGTAGACACTTTGGATGCTATCCCTCAGCATTTGGCTCACACAGTAACAGCACAGCTAGCTGCCAGCTGTGTTGTCACTGACTACAGCACTGCTAGCTGTGCTCTGAGACCCCAGAATGATAGGGCGAAGGTGGAATAGACTTCTACTCATAAGCAAGGAAATCTTTCTGTACACAGCTAGAATAAAACACTTTCTCCACTGCTGCAGACTAGGGAGTCAGTAGCTCATGTTCTTGATAGCAAATCCTGTGTTTTCCTGAGAATTATCTCCTAACTCCATTGGTTTAACACAGTGTCTGGAGGCAAGTGCTCGGTGAACTGACCTTGCATTCATATTGGAGCCCAGTGCCTCAGTTCAAACACATGAAGAAACTGGAGGCTCTGGGGTTTGTGCAAATATCTCACAATGGTTCTGTTGGCTGCACCAGATTTGAGAAATACAGAAAGATGATATTGCATCAAGCCTGTGCGTGACATCTCTGCTGTGAGCTGGAGTCCTGGAGTGAGTACATTATGCCAGTAAGTTTAAGAGACAGACTGATAGATCTGCACGAAGATTTCTGCACACCACAGCAGTATATTCCTTTGCACTTGTGGGATGCCTTGAGAAGTGTCAGTGATCAAAGAACCAGCATCTACCATCCATCACTAGTCTCTTCTCTAACAGAGAATGCCAGAAACTATGTAGGCCTGTGATGCCAGGCAGCAAGGGAAGCACACACTCTAGTTGCCCCCTTTTCTCCAAGTGCACAGCAAAATTCAATGCCCAGAATAATCTGATCCTTTTTCCTTCACTGATTTCCTCATCTCCCTCCTCAAAATGCAGACTTTCTGAAGGCACCAAAGAGGCTCCCATCTCCCTTTCCTTAAAACCATACCCTGTATCTCCCAACAGTTTTCACTTCAGGCTTTAGTGACTCCAGCTGCAGAAGAAGGATGTTCAAATGCCTCCAGAACCCCACGTCAGAATTCTTTGTTGTTCTACCCTATAAAGTCATATCCTGCTCAGTATCTTTCTGCATCAATTTATTTTATGATGGCTTGAAATCATCTATTACATCAAAAATTATTTTTTCACCTTTTCATTTATTAGACTGGAATCTGCACCAGGAAGGTATCAGTTTCTCTCCAAGCCTGAAAATCTGTTGTTCATGAGGATGTAGGATGACAACTCCAAACAGCTCATTTCCACTGTAACTACTGACCAAATGTTTTGGTTTCAGCAGCTTCTCCTAACTCCTGCTTCCCCTTCCTGGGTTTTGGGGGGTTTGGTTTATTTGTTTTTTTTGGTGGAATTAATTCCTTTGAAGCTATATACATAAATACAGATTACAGTTCAAGCATGCTCCCTATCAAATATACGTAGAAAAGATCCTTTAGTTTTTGAAGGGGATCTCAAACTGGTAGAAGCAGCCATACTGAGAAACCTCTCAGAGGAGTGGGGTTAGAAGCAATAGGTTTTAGAGGTGCTGAGCAGTATTAACTCTTGCAGTCTGACATTTAAGTATTATATAATTATTTGACCTATATGTTCAAGCACCTAAAAATGCAGTAGATGACCAGATGTGTATATGCAGTCCATCTTTCAAAGAGATACAGACATCTAATTGATGGTGAGCTTCTGTAAAGCCTACTTAAAAGTTTGTGTCCTCAGATGCTTTCAGAATTTGGCCACAGATTCAGAGCTGGCAGAAGCAAGCAATTCAGTTGGCCTTGACAGCATTTATGCAAATAGTGATTCTAGCTTCCAGACTTAGTACATATCTTATACCAGCTAGAACTTCCTGAAATCCCTCAAACTGTTTTTTAGACATTTTGACATTGTGACTCCTACAGTCTTCAAGGACTGTGTCTGAAGGTAATTCACTGGAGGACACTCCAGCCAAAGCTGCATGATCACTGTCTGTTCTTAAGGCAAATAGTACTTCTATGACACTTTGTTTCTTTGGCCTCTTTAATACCAAGTTTCTTATCTTTTAATTGCTGGTTTTAGTGGCAGGTATGTTAATACTTTTTATCATGAAAATGAGGAGTTTCCTTTCAGCAACTCTTTTCTTTCTTTGTATAAGCATTATAAAAAGAAATAGTGAAATACATGCAGTTTTTAATTTCTTTTTCTACTTTTGAATTTCTCCTATTGGCAATAAATCTTTTCCAGTTTCATGGTTTAAGAGAAGCAATTCTGAAAGCATCTGATCTTTACAGGTTTTCAGAATACTAGCTTCAGTTTAAATTAGCTGCAAAACACTTGCAGCATTACTTCTACATTAAAGACCCAGCTAAGACAGAAGCTTTATTGCGCTAGGTCCCGCAGAAGGTAATTGGCCTTATCCATCCAGATTGCAGGTGTGCAGGTGTCCAGATAACACAATAGGTGGGTGGAGAAAAAAAGGCAGAAAATTAATTGCTTTATATTGCATAGCTATTTAAGGAGAAAGTAAGGCTGTCCTGGCTCCTGGACTGGTATCTGTCCACTACTTGGCTCTGACTTTTACTAACACGCTAGCTGCACTAGCTATTTTCTTTTGTAGCATCTTTTTTTCCATCTTTGTCCAATCCCATAACTGTCTTTGTTCTTGGGGTTGTCATCCATCAGATTAAAACCTGACAGATTATTCTGAAGTTACACTTAACCTCAACTTTCAGTTCCCACTTCCTTAGACAGAAAAGTAGCTACAGCTGGCCTGTATCGTTTTTCTAGTTAGATCATAAACACAGGT